CGACAGTGACAAATCGTAATCCACCTTTTTGCTGTTATATCCGAAAAAGGGCTCCATCTGATGCAGCTTCGATCCCCGAAACAATTGTCAACCCAAGTCCCCCCCGCTCCAGAACTTTCTAAAAGCAACTGTTGCATGAACGAACTCTTGTTGCTTCTATGAACTCCCTCCGAGCCTTGCAGAGAATCAAGCTTATTCAGAATACACGTGCTACGAAACCTATCGGTGAGTTTTGTGTCATGGCTTGGCGATCCCAAGATCCCATCTTCATCCAGGTCAGAGTGCAGTGTAGCTGATTGCATCTTGTATCTCTAGGACGAATCAGTCAATTCGCGACCATGGCTGCCACGACGGATGTGAAGAACTACAAGTTCAACCACTCTAGTAAGTTGATCCATTCTCGATTCATGACGTTTTGCTAATGAATCTCAGTGATCCGAGTGAAGGATCCCAAGGCTTCGGGTACGTATCAAACGTCACCGCGTTACATAACCCATAGCACCCCTATTAACACCCCAGCTTCACAGTCAAGTTCTACGAAACTCTCGGCATGAAGGTCATCAACAAAATCCAGCAACCCGAGGCCAAATTTGACCTCTACTTCCTGGCTTACGACTCGCCCAACGCGCGGTCCGCGGGAAGCGGCACCACTGACCGCGAGGGCATCATCGAGCTGACGCACAACTACGGCACCGAGAACGACCCAGAGTACAAGATCAACAACGGCAACGCGGAGCCGCACCGAGGGTTCGGGCACACGTGCATCAGCGTCGACAACATCCAGGCGGCGTGCCAGCGCCTCGAGGACGCCGGGTACGCCTTCAAGAAGAAGCTGACGGACGGCAAGATGCGGCATATTGCGTTTGTGTTGGATCCCGATCAGTACTGGGTTGAGATTATTGGCCAGAAGCCGATTGAGCAGACGGAGAGTGTCAAGGAGACGGATGTGACTACCTACAGAATGGTAAGACATACTCCGATAAGGACCACTGACAGAATATTCGACACAAGACCGCTGACCAGACCACGCATGTTTTCAGAACCACACGATGCTCCGCGTCAAGGACTACGAAAAGTCGCTCAAGTTTTACCAGGACGTTCTGGGCATGACGCTGATCCGCAAGAACGAGGCCAGCGACTTTACCCTCTTCTTCCTGGCCTACGGCGACCTAAAGGAGGGTGAGAGCCAGGCGCAGCGTGAGGGCATCCTCGAACTGACCTGGAACCACGGCACCGAGAAGGACGAGAGCTTCAGCTACCACAACGGCAATGATCAGCCCCAGGGCTTTGGACACATTTGTGAGTTTTTTTGCCTTTTCGCACGCGACGCGGGTTGAAGGGAGCGAGTAAGTCAATGGAAAGGAGACTAATGTGAGAATAGGCGTCACGGTCGACAACATTGATGCTGCGTGCGCGCGTTTTGAGGAGTTGAAGTGCAACTGGAAGAAGCGCCTCAGTGACGGCCGCATGAAGAACATTGCGTTCTTGTTGGATCCTGATAACTACTGGGTCGAGGTTGTCCAGAATGAGAAGTTTGCCGGCAAGGACAACTTCTCATCGCCCAGTGTTTGAGATTGCTTGCTAAGAAACAGAGAAGCCATAAGTGGAATCGATTGAGATGAAAGTAGCAGTGAATGGCGTTTGGTGAGAAGCAACGGGCGGGATGAGTGTGAAATGCGGCGTATGAAAAGTCAACGGAGCTGCCTCGTCGGGCGGTGTTTGGTGAGGCGTCAATAGTAGCCATGAAATACGGCATGCAAGGGTTTCAGCGGAAGAGTAACCCCAATCCAACAATCAAAACATTTCATATGTTGATTCCATCGTGAGATGATTCCAAACCGAATGACCTGAGTGTGGCTGATGCTGATGTGAGGATTCCAAACTTGACCCGGTGGATCCTCGGATAACGGGCACGTCGTGGAATCCTCTGCCGTGATTCCATCATGATTCTACGCTGTGGCGCTTGCAGTGCCGCTGTGGCGGGACCTCTCTCCAAGCCCGCCCAAGCTCCAAAGCAAGCCCGGACCCCTGGGGAACTTGGCACTGCAGAAACACCACCCCCGCCAAAAGTCGTTGACGCAACAGGTCGCCCTCAGCTTCTCACTGGCGGCCACAGATACAAATCATTGGACAAGACCCCGGTGCTCCGATTTGTCACTCTTCGTCTGCCCTCCACTGCCTCTCTTCTCACCCCTCGTCCTGTAACATCTTCAGACGACATCCTTATATAAACCTCTCCATTCAACCTCAACCTCATCGATTAAGTACCACAACAACCTCAAACTCACCAACGCATAAGACTGGTGAGATACACTACAACTCTCAATCAGGAAAGAATTGCCCAATGCGATTTTCACCCTTTCTCTCAACCCTCGTCTATACCTTTTCCAACTTTTCCCGCGTCCGCGCCGCGCAGTCTCTGAGCTCCCAGACGCCCCTCGCAGCGAACCGCCAGCTCCTCCGCGCTTCCATGCCCTCGATCCCGTTCCTGGGCGCTCTGTTTGGATCTTCGGCTTCTCAGCAGGATAAGATGTCGTATCCCGATAAGAGGTCTGATGATGAGTGGCGGGCTATTTTGAATAAGGGTATGCTGAATCCCCGCTTGCCTATTTGTGTCTCATTTCATCTCATGCATAGCGTCTTACTTGACCATGTTCCTGAGGTCGAGTGCCCCGCCTGAGATGAAAACAATGAACTGCAAACCCCGTTAGATGAGATGAGTCGCTAACAAGTCACAAGAGCAATTCCGCATCCTCCGCGAAAAGGGCACCGAACCCCCCGGCTCCGGCAAATTCGACAAACACTACCCCGCCGAGGGCGTCTACGCCTGCGCCGGGTGTGAGGCTCCGCTCTACAAGGCCACGCACAAGTTCAAGTCCGGCTGCGGCTGGCCGGCCTACTTTGATTCGCTCCCGGGCGCCGTCGTCCGCCACGAGGACCGCATGTTTGGCATGACGCGCACCGAGATTGTGTGCGCCAACTGCGGCGGGCATTTGGGTCACGTTTTCAAGGGGGAAGGGTTTGAAACGCCGACGGATGAGAGGCATTGTGTCAATAGTGTGAGTTTGACGTTTGCGCCGGATGAGAAGAAGGGTGGGGAGGGGAGTGCGGAGGGAGCGAAGGGGGAGAGTAAGGTGTAAGGGGGTTGTGATGATAAGAGGAGCGGCGTTCTGAAGAGGTGTCGTTGAGTTTTGAGAGTTCGGTTTAGGGAGTAGAGGGGAGGCATGGCGACCACGCGGGCCACCTTAACATCGAACCTACAGATGTAAGATATATGAATATGTATCTTGAAGTAAACTTCTGTGCACATTTTCAGGCTTTGCCTGTACAATAGCGGGTTGGGTGTTTACTTCTTCCTTGACATCCAAACTTGACTACTTTCGCATTGTTCAAGTGAAGTGGTTTGCGTGCAATCACGAGGTTTCTCACGAACGCCTTCTACGTGTCTAGTCTAAACTTTGGACTTCTCTGAAAAAGGCAACGCCATGCACCAAGGCGACGATAGCAACATTCCGAGCCGCTCCTAGGTCCCCGTCTTTCTTCCATGTGAGCTTCGAACACCGTTCAAGATTTCTGCGTTTTGCAGCTCGAGGGAGAGGAAATCGACTAGCCTCCGGAACCAATATATATGCCGAACGATCTACATCTTGATTCGCTCTCGTCGCTTCCATTTAGTGTGAAACAAAACTTCAGAATTCGTTTACGCAGGGACACACATAAATGTGCAATACCTGTTACGAAGCGCCAATAATCAGACCATAGTCAGCCTTGAAAGATTGGCACTTATTGTGAATGAATTACCTCCCACGTGAAGTGCGGATTGCCACCACCTCTGTCTCATTCTGATGAATCAATGCGGCGTTGCTCCGTCGATTATCCCGTCCGCAGCAAGGCCTAGCTAGCCGCAATGTAAATATAACCTCCCCATTTGAGTGTCCAGCGACGCTGCTTCGGTGTCTTAGGTGTGGGTGTGTCCAGAGGTATCGGTAATGGCAGCTGAGGCTTGTGGTGGCTGTACCATCCAAGGCGCATTTCGTGCTTGAATCGCCTCTCTCATCTTCTTCGTTGGGCGTCTCGCAGACCTAACACCCAATCAAAGGCCAGGCCAGCTTGACCGGCACAATCACTTGCAGCTCATGGCAGACTTCTGTGTAGCATTTGGAGAGTATTTGGCACTGCGGCCGCGCCATCGTCTGAGTCGAGCATTTTGAACCAGTGAAGTTTGCAGTCGCAGGTTCCCACCATGCAATTCTTAAGAAAGAGGAACGCAATTGCAAATCTGTAGCATCTGATTGGAAAGCCAGAGGAAAGAAACTTGGGCATAAATTGCGCCCTGAAATACCCCGCCTGTACTTGCTTCCTATGTTCAGCTGTGGCATCCCCTTCCTTCCAGCCCATTGCTTTTCCAAGACGGTCGTCATCCTTCCAACTCTAATATGCCAGCCTAACGATACCCTATTCAAACAACCACGAATATGTACAGTTGGCACGACAGCTCCTGTCGGTCAACCAGTATCGGATTCTCAGAAGATAGGGGTGTCCCAATTTGTGCTGGCGAAAAATGTGTCGCTCCTCGCAAAGGCAACACAAAAGCGCACATCGAGACAGCAATACCCGTCCCGCCATCGAAAGCTACGTTCGAGCTTACATAGCCGTCTTCATTGCCTTTTATGGAAGAAGATACACATGAAACTACTTCATTCGGAACACCAACTTCCTCTCCCAACGCGCAACGATCGAATGAATCCTCTGATACTAGTTCGCCGAAAAGGCCGGCAACAGAACGGCAAGCTTCTTTACCGCAGGATGCGAGCGAGAAACCTGCAGCACGTCCTGATCAGCGTACAGCAAGCGGATAATTTTGTCCAATTGGGTTGCCTTTCCCACGAGAGGCGGCATACGAACCTCTCGCCGCCCGGAAGATCAGGCTTCTTGACTTACTTGGGGGCGATTACGAGGACCCAATTCGAGTTGAGCTCGGAGTCAAGGACCTGGCTGACATGCCAGAGTATGAAGCCCTGTCGTATACCTGGGCGGATGAGAATGGAGACACTTCGAAATGTGAGAGGGCTTATATCGGGAAGCGCTGGGATATTCTCCCGATTACCAGAAATTGCCACAATGCCCTCCGCCGTTTGCGTTACTCCGGTAGGAGTAGACCGCTATGGGTCGACGCCATCTGCATCAACCAAAGTGACGTGGGTGAGAGGTCCCATCAAGTTGGTATCATGCAAGACATTTATGCAACATCAATCAGAGTTTTGATATACTTGGGGGAAGACCAAGGAAACATGGAACCCCCCAGCTCACCTCCGTGGAATTTCGACAAATGGAACACGTTGAATGGGAGATCTTTGCCTGCGCACAAAGACCTCACACAACTATCATATTTCAAGAGAGTATGGGTGATCCAAGAGATAGCTGCGAAGCGCAAGCCTTGGGTTCTCTTTGGAACGCACGGTGACCAATGGGATCACTTCCTTGAACGGGTAGAGACTAAGGCCAACAAAAAAACTGTAGGCGATCCGTACACAAGGAGAACAACTGCTATCTCTGACGGGAATCAGCTTCCTCGAAAGACAAAGTGGGTACACGTGCTTCCTCGGGGAAAACTCATGGATCTAGCAGAGCTTCCAAGATTTGTGGTTGCCACAGCTGACTGCGAGGCCACAGACCCTCGGGACAAGATATTTGCCTTGTTGGGTCTTTTTCAAGGCGCAAAACAAGCTGATTTGATTGCGGACTACTCTCTCAGCAAGGAGCAGGTGTTGAGTGGCTTGACTGCTCATATACTCTCGAAAAGTCCTGAACTCTTGCTGCCAATATTTTCAGGACTTCAGCCAAACTCATCAAGTCCGCTTCCCTCGTGGGCTGTGGACTGGTCGTCGGCAGCCAACATAGATTGCATAGAGCCACACTTATCTCAGATAACTTCGCAGATGTATTCTGGGAGTCTTCGCCCATGCCACGTTTCTGTCACAATGGTTCCTTAGTCCTCCGAGGACGCAAAATGTCTCAACTCTCGAATTACTTCCTTGACGCCAGATGCCGAGAAGGGCCCCGGGCATCCTGGCGGGCGAACTCTATCGCATGTCAGGGTATCGTTCGGCAGGAAGTGTACCAGACTGGGCCGAGTTTACCGACGAAGTTTTCCAAATCAGTGGTCTTCAAGATCACGTGGTAGTGCTTCGGCCTGTCGCATCGGCGCCAAAGGTCCCCAAAGTATTTCGATTCGTTGCCGTTGCACAACAGCCCAAGATTGATCGCTTGACCGAATGTGTCAACTTGATCAATCGTAGAATCATATTGTTATTCTCTACATGGCAGTATGTACTCAAAAGAGGAAGCGGTGGCGAACTATGGTTTCTCCAGCAAACATGGGACACGATCAAAGCCATGTGCCAGCAGATCAAGCAGTTCTGGAGTTTTGTAGAAACAACAGGACGTTTCTCGGATGACTTGGAAGCTTTCGACAATTATAAACATTTATCTGACGGAAGGAAAATCCCTCACAAGATCCCTACCCAGCAGAGGCCGTCGTATCGGGACTATATACAACTGAGTGAGATGGCTGTCCGTGATCAGATGGAGCTTGACGCATGTGCTAGGCGCTCCCTTGACACAAGAGAACTAGAGGACATGAAAGCCGATGACATGGGCTCATTACGCCTCCTTGGGCGAAGTCTCTTGACCTCCATTTACGTCTATAAGCAACAACCGGCGCTTCAGACTTTGCCAAGGCAAGGTTCTCTATACAATCTCAGGGAGGACGAGGGGATCTGTGAGAGACTTCTACGAGAAAAAGCGGATCCCACCACCAATCGTGATGGCAGTGCCACATATACTACGTACGAAGCGTCCTTCCGCTCTTCAATGAGCAGCACAGGACTTGCGGCGTTTCTTAGCTGGGAATTGGGTGTAAGTGGCGGTATACCAACAGCAGAAGGGGGGGTTTTGGAGAAAAACAAAAGTGACAGCCATGAGCGCAAGTTCACATGGATTCATAATTATCCTTCCCTGCCAAGCCTGAGAGACTTTTTCTCTTCGCTTGACAATGTCTTCAAGAAATCCTACCGAAAACAGCTGTTTCAACTTGGGTCGTTAGACGACTTTGTCCGATCGCTTCTGAGTCTGGATTTGGATCAAAAAGTCATGCATTTCGCCGTCTGGGAAGGGAACAACAGAATGGGGTATCAAAGAGATATGCGGCGCGACGGAGTGATCCCGTGGCTACATGATTTTCTGAACCTAGATTCAGACACATTGCACAAAGGAGGAGGCCGTTCAAGGAGTTATTTGAATACTTGGGCGGCCGACTTCATGCACATCTGGGCCCTCCTCACGAAGGGCAGTTGCCTCAACTCTCCTGCGGAGTCTGCGGACCCCCGACCTGACAATTCAGAGGATCAGATGGAGCAGGGACAAGACCATCTGGCTGCAGCAAAGGTGAAGTGGGCACCGCTGCTTGACCCCATAAGAGAGACAGAGGCGCATTTACTCCCTTTCGAGAAGGTATTCGTCGGAACGAACGACACCCATGACGAAAAAATGGAAAATGTCCCCTGAGAGGATATCTATATTATCTGACTGAATACGCTCTTTCATAAATTTTCGTCGATTTGTACCAGACGAGCGGAGGAAGCCACTAGGGCGGAAAGATATGGTGGGGTTCAAGGAGCCATTCGATGTATTCTCGTTCTCTTGGAGTTAATGTAGTTCTTGGAAGGCCGAAGTTATCCGCTTTCTGACTGGAAAGATTACTGAGCACACCTGATACGACCTCTCGATTCAGGCATAGGGAGAGGTTTTGGAGTTGGCATTATGTATTACCCTCATATCTCATATACATCTCAATCCAGCACAAACATAATATCTACGAGAATAAACATTCCCTCAAGAGCAACCACATTCTTCAACATCCTTCTATATCTTTCAACATCCACAAACATTGAACAGCGCAACGGAAGGATCATGATCGCTAACAAGATCATCATACAACTCCCACGAGTTAACGTGAATATGCTCGTATGCTGTACCGTTCTTGGTCGCCAGTGCAGGGCTGACAAACATGTGATCCAGCTCCTGCGCGTTCATATCGTAGACATAAGTATACCGCTCCTCGACGGGAATACCAACCGCCTCGTCGAGGTCGATGAGACCCGAGGTGGAGGCAAAGACTTTCAGGGGCTCGACAAAGGCGAATTCATTGAAGTCACCGGCGGTGATGATGCGGGCGTTTGCGTCGAGGGCGAGGATCTCGGCGATGAAGGACTATAATTCTAGAGTTAGCTTGCGGTTTCTGTTAAAAGAGTTTGGAGTGAGGAGGGGAACGTACGCCCGTGATCTTGGCCTGCTCAATACGCGGGTTCACGACGCCGTTGACGGGAGGACGCGGATCGCCGTGCAGAGACGAGGAACCGCCCTTGGACGCAAAGTGCACATTGACAGTGAAAAACGTCTTGTTCACGGGCCCGTTGACGGCGCGCCACTGTGCAACGAGGGGCTTGCGGCTGGCGTCCCACGCCGTGTTGGTGGGGTCGATGCGGCCGGGGTTATACTTGAGCGCGGGACCCTCGAGAACCTCATTAGCGTCGAGCGCGCCACCGGGGTTTGGCTTGTAGAGCTCGACAACGTCGGGCTTGTAAAGGTACGCGACGCGGATGTTGCCTCCGGGCTGGCCGCCGTCCTTGCCGTCGACGGGGTCGATGACGACCCAGTCGTACACAACGCCGGATTTGGTTTCAATGGCGGCGGTGAGAGTGGAGAGGGTGAGGTTGGAGGAGACGACGCCGTTGTTGGTGGCGCCGTTGTCGTCCTGGATCTCTTGGACGAAGACGAGGTCGGGCGTCTTGAGGTAGTCTACGATGTGGGCTGCGACGGAGGGGAGGTGGGCGACTGTCGGGGAGAGGTTCTCGACGTTGTAGTCACCGACTGTGATGCCCCTGCAGTTGCCGCTGCTGACGAGGGTTGTGGCGGGGGCGTTGTTGGTGGCGTTCTTTGTAATTGTGATGGCGGTCAGGGGGAGGATGCGGTAGAAGCCAAAGGCGTTTGTGACGATGCCGGTGATCTCGGTGAGCTCGTCGCCCATCTTAGACTCGGGGTTCTTTGTGCCGTCGAGGGGGGAGCCGATGATGATGACTTCGGGGTTGGAGTCTTTTTGCGGTGTTAGTAACTGGTATGGTTCAGAAAAGCGTAATAATGTTTACCCTTGTCAGACATGGTGATGCCGCCGTGCGCATTGCGGCCGGTGACGGGCCAGTCGCCAATGACCCAGGTGTCTCCGTACTGGTTGGGGCGCGAGACGCCAACGGGGCTCTTGATGGTGACGAGCTCGCCGCTCAACGACTCCCAGAAGTCGAGGCCGTAGAGCGTCGGGTTGAGGACGGGGTTCTCGGTGGAGATGTTGGCGACGGCGTTGGGAACGGCGTAGACGTCGCCGCCGTCGAGGCCGCTGTACTCCTCCGTCGGCGGGGACAGGGTGTCGACGCCGATGACGAGCGGGGTGACCTCGTTACCCTTTGAGACGACGACGACGTTCGTGGGGGAGCTGAGCTCTGTGAGGTAGATGTAGTTCGTGGCGGACCTGGTTTTCGACTTTTGTTAGAGGAACGGGGCTCGGCGTGGTGGCGTTGGGGATTTACGACTCCGTCTTACCTGTACTCTTGGATCTTTCCATCCAGGGTGATGAGGTCGCCCACGGTCAAGTTCGTGCCAACGGTGCTGCCGTAGACGTAGAGCGCCTCGGAGGTGGCATCGTCGTCGTCGGGCGTGGTCGAGCGGATCCAGATCCCGGCGGGTCCCTTTGCGAGAACCAGACCGGTGACGTTGGTCACGGACTGGTCTTTGTACGGGGAGAGGAACTTGTTGCCGTTGATCTCGGCAATGGTCAGGGCCGAGGCGGCGCCGGCGGCGGAGAGGAAGAGGGATGTGACCTTCATCTTGACAACAGGTTTACACCGCGCGTCAAACGAGAGAATCAAAGACAATGAAGCTCTCTTCCGTTGGATCGCAACGTCCTAAGCAAGAGAGGAACAAAAGGGATCGTCCGTATTTACTCCCGTCGCGGGGCAAGTCACCACTATATGTAGGATGGAGCTGAACCTCTCTCAGCCCGCGGTCGTGGTCCCCCGTTTCCCCTGGTCAGAGTCGTATCGTGCCGAGAAAGTTGCAAAGTGCCAAGAAAGCTGCACCATATCGCTTCGCTGGGTCCCCCGGGATCCAGCGATCCATTCCGCCCTTGCATCGCGGGAGCTGCCTCCTTTGCATGTGAGCAAGCCGCATCGGATGCGCTCCAAAGAGCCCATGTACGCGATAGGATTGGACAACAAGAGAGAGGAGGGCGCGGCCAGCTCCGATATTACGCACTCGATATCTAGATCCTCAAGGCCGTTTGGTCTTCCTCACTGGAGGGAAGACGGCAAGACAATGATTCTCTCTATCGAGCGGAGAGCAGGGGTCCGGTCGTATCAACTGACCTCTTAGAGCGATGCGTGCCTGGCACGTTCTTGTCAGGTTGTCATAAGAAACCTGGGCTAACGGCACCGGCAGAGACCTTGGATCATGGATGGGCCCCGCATTAACCTTGAATCCCCCATCGCGGCGCTGTATTGGCTGGCCATGGCTCAATCGGGAAGGTGAAGGCTTCCTGCGAGGGCGGGAGAGTGGCCTAGCTGGTATCTAGTTCAGTGGGGAAAACCCGGCCTGAGCATATCGAAAAGGTTGAATTGAGAACGGGTGTGTGGGGGAAAGGCGAGAGGAGAATGCAAGAAAGCAGCTTTGCTTTAGACCCTGGGCCATATCTGTGAGGTGAGGCAGATAGAGAAAGGAAAGAGACTAGCAATCAGTATGTCATTGCCAACACTTCCAACCATGATAGGAGAGCAAGATGGACTGACGGATGAACCGAACTATCCGTACCCGTAAGACAAGCCGGACCAACTCCCTTCCTAGGACAAGTCTGCTCTCGAGGCCAAGACTTCGTGGACGCGTGGTGTCTTGCTGTTGTTGGTCGAGAGCGGTTGCTGCAAAGGTGGAGGGAGGAGTCTAGGAGCAAAGTCAATTACCTAGGTACTCTACTACGTAAAAAGCTCGACAAGGGTCGTTGAGGGGCCGCTAATCTGCGCCTTATCGCCTGCCAATCATCTGCCTCACGTGTCGATGACCGACCGCCGGCCCCGGAGCTCTAACCCCGGTCGTCCCTGGATGTGCCCCTGTCTATCACCGACCCAAGTCTACCAAGATTCTAAGCTTGACTCGACTTCCGCAGGACCCTCCCTCAGTTTCTCACATCACAGTCGCTGTTTACCCTCATTCTTTGCGTAACATCATGAACCACGCTCACTCTCTCACTCATGGCCACTCAGTCTCGAATCTCGTCTCGAATCTCAAGTCCACCGATGCATCACCGCTCATTTCGCGCTTATTTGGAGACTTTTGAACTTAATCAAATCCTCGCCATCATGGTATCACAACTAATCTTTTACAAGATGGGGGTTTGACCTAAAAACTGCAGTGCACACCTTCACTCAATTTCCTACAAATGAAAACTGTCCCAGAACATTACAAAGAGTTGTACAAATCCCAAGGACCTCTTGTCCATTGAGTGAAGATTCCCGTGTATGCCTCAGAATGCCCCTCGGCGACGACAGGAACAGCTGCCTACTGAAATCTCAAGTGAGATCAGGCTAGCAAGATGTGCGCACCAACAAAAAAAATTCATTTCTTTTCCGTCCTCGAGACAGACACACTCGGAAACAGCTCTACCAGCGTAGCTACCTTTGCTTCAGACTTGCCACCGGTCGAGCCCGTCAAAACCGCTCCGGTGATCGCTGGGACCGCCCGGAACCGTCCCAGGCTCCGACTCAGCTTGTTGCCCTGGGGCCTCGACATCTGGAGCCGCTCAACAGTAGAGCGTCCACTCCCGCTTACTCCAGATCGGCTTCCTCCTCGTCGCGCTGGACAAGCTCGTGGTCGTCACGCTCTGCGAGGTCGGCTGACTCCTCATCACGTCCGAGAAGACCGCTAAGCAGGGCAAGAGGGTCAGCCTGGGCCTTGTTGGCACCACCGGCGTTGGCAGCGTTGCCACCTGCAGCGCCTCCACCAATCTGCGAGTAAATGTTAGATGATGCTCAGCAGCGGACGTCTCTGGGGCTACTTACGCTCTCGAGAATGGAAGAGAGAATGTTGTTGCCATCAGCCGCCTGGTTGTTCTTCGCAGCGGCACCTCCAGCAGCGTTGTTCTTGGCAGCCTTGGCCTTCTTTCCGTTCTTCTTCTTGCCACCAGCGTTCGCAGTTCCGTTGTTGGCAGCACCACCGGCGGCACCACCAGCGGCCGCACCGCCAGCTGCGTTGTCAGCGGCTCCGTTGTTCTTCTTCGCGGCAGCGTTGTTCTTGGCAGCCTTGGCCTTCTTTCCTCCAGCAGCTCCGCCAGCCGCAGCGCCGTCGGCGGCGTTGGCGGTTCCGTTGTTGGCAGCGCCACCGGCGTTGTTCTTCTTGCCCTTGTTCTTCTTGGCGCCGGCGGCACCAGCGGCAGCGTTGTTCTTCTTGCCCGCGGCCTTGGCCTGTGCGTTCTTCTTGCCCTTCTTGGCCTTCTTCTTGCCTCCGGCGTTGGCAGTTCCGTTGTTGGCGGCACCGCCGGCTGCGGCATCGGCTGTGGCACCGCCGGCTGCGGCATCGGCTGTGGCACCACCGGCTGCGGCACCGGCTCCTCCGGCTGCAGCGGCGTCCTTCTTGGCCTTCTTCTCGGCTACGCCGTTCTCGCCTTGGTTCTCGCCTTCCTGCTGGACATCGGCGTTGTCACCAGCTGGCGTTGGAGGTCAGATGGGTTTCGTACGATTCTGAGTGAGTTTCTTTGACATACCTTGCTCGCCCTGCTGGCCCTTGCCACGGCGCAGAACAGGCCTAACATCAGCTTGGGCCGGGAAGTTGAGGTCTCTAATGGGAAGAGCCACGGATCGATCCTCCAGAGTGGGGAGGGCGATGACCTGGGCAGCGATGGCCGCAATGGAAAGGAGGATAGAGCTCTTCATTTTGAAGGAGTGCTAAATGTCTCTAGTCAAAGAGATGAAGGAAAAAGTTGATGGTATAATTTACAACTGAAAAGGGTTCACAGAACCTGGAGAGAATGGAATTCAAGAATGGAAGAAATGAGAAAGACACTCAAGGAAAGACTGGACCAGCCAAAGTGAAGGAACTGAACCAGAAATGTTGTTGTGTTGAAGACTTGAAAGTGTCGAGAGAAAGGAAACCGAAATCAAAACCAGATCGGGCTGGGTTGATATAGAGTATAAGCTTCCTGCGAATCTCACTCGGATCCAGATCCCTCGGAATATCATGCCGCAGGTAAAGCAGGCACAAATTGCAACCATGAGGTCACAGTGCCAAGGAATTGAGACGTCTTGTCAAACAAATGAGGTGAACGCTATCTTTGCCCAATGTCACCATGTCAGCCATGTCACAGACTGTGATCCATCGCGAGGGCAGTGCAGTTTGGTGGAGCAGGGGAGTCGGGTCCTCAGTTTGAGAAAAAGAGTGATGGCGAATGGGAAGAGGTGTGTGCCAAGCATCACGACGGCGCCATGTCGCGCCAAACCCCGGAGCAGCCGTGAGCCGGGGAAAGCGGAGACGAGGTCCCAAAATAAAGAGAGAGCAGAAAAGGTGTCTGTAGCCGATTGATGATGGGCATCGCTACCATGCGTTTGCGGTTGAGGGTGCCGGTGGTGACCATGGAGGGCGACTGTTGATCAGACGGTTGGTGATTCAGAACGGCCCCGCCGCGGCGGATTCTTGTACCTCTCCAGAACTAAGGCTTGCGGAGGTGGAATGGGGACCCAACGGTGGTGGCTGCTTGACGGTGGCCAGACCTGGTACTAGGCTGGGCTGCATCCATAATCCCTTACACACAGAACGTGGGAAGTACACTAGTGTCCGTCCTGCCCTGGTTGGCATGTGTTGATGCTTGTGCGGTGATAATGGTGGTGGTGGTAGTATTCCCAAGGTCGCGTACCTTGCGGTTAGTGGAACAGCCATGGGGGTTGAACGGTTTGATCGGAGGACAGGTTGTCAAACCTGGGATGAAACACCGCCAAAAAGGGCGCTTGGCCAAAATCGCGAACGCCTCTCGCTTCCCAACTACCTAGAGTCTTCCCTTCCCGCTGCGTGACTGTCTCCATCCCAAGACACTGGTGTCGAGTGGGATGCCGCCCATTTGAAGAGGTGAGTTGCTGGGATGGCGTTTGAAGGATGAGCATGCGCGAAGCGACGAAGTCTAAATTTCAGAATTGCAACGATGCACCCTGGGCTGTTTCTTGACAAGCCGGGGAGCCTCTCGTGAATCAGAACCAGCCCCCTAGGCGTTGCAGAAGCAAAAAGTGGTCTGAATGGCAGGATTTGCAAATAATTGTTGGATCTCTGCTAGGGCACCGGTTACGATGGCCGTAATTGTATCTGTATTCGTAGGGTGTTGCAAGTACCTAAGACAGGCCCCGAGTCCCCACAAGCTTGATTTGTGAGCCGCACTCAAGCGTTGAAGGCTTGAAGCTTGGCCCTGGTCGATACCGTTACATCGCTCTCCTTCTTCCGTTTTTGCGCCGCACTACTGTTCCTGAAGGCTGTCTGATTTGCAGTGTCTGCTTAGGCATTTAGAAATTGGGGGATCTCGACTGGAGAGATGCTTGTTTGGAAGCGGTGCCGCGGGTTGCGGTTGCTGCGCCATTCCGTCCCATTCCATGCCGTCCGTTCCCATCCCTTCACACAATAAATGCCGAGGGCTAGAACACAAGGCAACGTTGGGAGTCTCCGCACCCTGGTGACATGGCTCGAGGGTTGAGGGACCGAAGTCGAGAGAAGGGACGGTGTTTCAACTGGTGCATCGAATTGCCAAGGACTTCTGTCTCGAGGAGATTGACAAAGTCGGGCGATGATCGTCGCGCAACACTGGCCAAGACCACAGCAGTATGGCGTTCTTGTTGAGGTGGGAATAACAGAGCAGAATTAAGAAATACCAAGAGAGGCGCTCGGTGTTGGCGATGCTTCCGGCCTTGGTTGCGAGTATCAGAAATCTCTTGGTTTCTTTTAGTCTTTCTGGCCTGGTTTGTTTTTTCCTTGATGAATCCGACTCTACCTAGTAGTCTTGGAGTCTTGGGGCTCTTGGCTTGGGTCAGAGTAAGAGTCAGAGTCAGAATCAGACCTCAGGCGACTTCTGGAGTCTGGCGATCACCGGGGCGGCTCCAGTATTCGAGAATTACAGTAGAGGCCAAGCATTTTGGCGAGGAGAATCAGGGGATGAACGGATGTGCTGCGATCCTGTTTGGGAAATCATGGAGAAAGGAGGCGGGAGAGCAGAGCAGTGATCGGCGAGCGAGGAAAATCAGACACAGGAGAGAGGAGCTTGGTCAATGATGCTGGTGCATTGCTTTCCCCACGACAAAAATGAAGAGGAGACGGACGGTTCGCATTACTTTGACTGAAGGGGGGGCCCTCCTTCTCAATTTCTCCCCAACGGACCCCAGCTTTTCCATTGTATTCCCAGGTTGTCTTCCAGCCCTCCAGGTTCCCAGTCATTATTCGCCCCAAGTTCCCAACATGGCAGCAGCAGTCTGTGAGTCCGGAGTAGTGACTGCCCTGTCACGCGATGTGGTCGATACACCTACACTTGACCCGAGCAGAAGGAAGGCCCCATTGTGACTCCCGTCTTGGCAAGACCCATCGGAATCACGTGGCTGTCACTCCATGTCTCCTCGCTCTTGCTTGCTTTCACTGTTGCTCTCAGCCTCTCACTCTTTCCCTTTCTGTCTCTTACTTCTTTCCATCGTTGCCCATGCCAAGGTACCTTAAGGTAGGTAAGGTAGGTAAGGTAGGTGCTGTGTAAATGTACCTTGCATGTGCATCAACAGAGGCTGAAGCACAGTCCAAATCACGTGGGAGGTGACGAGTCCCCATTTCAGATGTGGTTGGGACCTCCCTTCCACTGCGGCTCTTCTACACGTGGGACACCGCATGGCTGGTACCATAAGGTTCCTTGCTGTCCCAAAGTTGAGATTCCAAATGACTCTGCTCTCTGCACACACCCGTTCTGCTTCGAATCGTACATTTCTGTATTTAGCAAAGATGAACAGGACCAACTTCAGACGACGTGATGGTGGTGGTCAGATGTCGTTATCGCTCCCGGATGAGTCAATTACCTATGGCCGTCTTTCACCTAGGCACGCTACGTAGGCTACCCAACGGAACAGTAGGTTCTCAACTTTCTACACTACACGCCTTGCCTTACATGACACCCGCCACATCAATCATCTCAAGTCTGGAGAAAGTCATCTCATCAACATAAACCTCTAACTTGGACGGTTCCACGGTCAGACTGGATGCGCCCATCGGTCCCCGACTCCAGATTTCCTGCCTTTTCCTGTCAGTGCTGCTGCATCCATCCATCCATTCATCTCAGACTCACACACCTGACCTGCCTGACCAAACTCATACGCCGTATTGCGTCGATGCACGGGGCCCGAGTCGTCCGATGCAACTTCCTTGACTAGCACCAAAATGCTGCTCGGCGCTGCTGCTTCGAGCCGATCGGTTTTCGTCCCTTTCTTACATCGGACATTCAATCCTCCATCGCGGTTGACGTGGACTGTCATCTGGTCCATCAGTCAAAGATGAGACCGCGTCCGCTTTGGGCAATTCACGGGGTGGCTGTGTCTAGCTGCCGCTGTGCCGCACCTCGATACAGGGACACGTTGATTTGATTGGCAACTCCACGTCAACACCAGCAAACTTGCCCGCTCTGCCTAAGGCTGTTGCCTCCGACCTGGGACTTTACGAAGGATTGCGGCATGTAATACGGCGAATGCAGGCCCGTCGCTTCCATTCTGTTCTGTCCTTTTCCCAGTCGACCACATAACGTTTCCGTTTATTTCCTGCTGTCTTGACGTGCCATAAGTTTGGTCACGCTGCAACTCTGTTTTGGAACTGGTCTCTTCAGTTTGGCACCTCGTTTTGACGCTATTGCTATTAAACGAAGTCACAAAGCGTTACATTTGGCCCATGTTTTGTTTGAAATCTCTCTTTGATTAAAATTGCCTCACTCCCTTGGTCTTGAAACACCATCAGCGACACGAGTGTGCCCGGTGCCCGCTCGCACCATGTGGGTCCCGCAGCCGGCTTGTTCTTCCGGCCTCGACGACTCTCTCGGTCCGTGGGCCGGAGAATTGTGCCGGGGCGGATTCGACTTTACACTTTTCTTCGAGGAAGCCATACTAGCAATTCCCCTGCAATCTCTCCTCCTGCTGTTGCTCCCCACTTGTACCTTACGCCTGGCAAGGTCCGATGTCAAAGTCGTGCCCAGCACCCTGCGCTGGTTCAAAGCTGTCAGTCCTGGCAGATTGCCTCCTACCACAGTGGCTGATCTCTGAAAGTCTGCAACCATTTCCCTGGTTGTTCTGAATCTCGTTCTTCTGGTCCTCTGGACCACAACACCATCAACGACTATCACTCATACACCCGCAACCATTCCCACCGCCACTCTAAGTCTAATTACCTCGATAGGATTGGGTTTTCTATCATGGCTCGCCCATCAACGCTCCGTCAGGCCGTCATTCATCCTGTCAACCTATCTGTTTCTGTCAATTCTGTTTGACACTGCCCGTGCCCGAACTTTGTGGATGCTGGGATCCCATCAGACCATACCCGCCGTCTTCACTTGTACGCTAGCCGTCAGAGCTGTCATGATACTTCTAGAATCAACAGAGAAGCGCAGGATCCTAGTCTCGCAACACAAAGGATACTCCAAGGAGGTCACCAGCGGTACTTTCAATAGATCAGTCTTCTTCTGGTTGACGTCACTCTTCATCAATGGATACAGAAACATCCTTCGATTAGATGACCTCTATCCACTGGACCCGAAGCTAGCCTCAGAGCCGCTCTACAGAAAACTCGCCGACGCGTGGGACCAAGGTAATCTATTTTCGGCCCCCAAACTAAAACACAAGATGTCCCGCGGACTAATATATCTGACTGACACCACCCAAAAAAAAAGTCCCCGACAAGACGGTACCCGGCGCTTTGTTCAGCACCTGGCTCCGCGCCTTTGCCGGCCCTCTTTCCGCGGCCATCGTCCCGAAACTCTTCCAGATCGCCTTCAACTACGCCCAGCCGTTTCTAATTGACGAGGCCATTCGCCTTGCCAGCCAGCCTCAGCAGCAGCCCTACAATAATCGTGGTTTTGGTTTGATAGGGGCGTACGTGATCGTTTATACCGGTACTGCTGTGGGTTTTGTGTTTCCGCCACTTTCGCTCTCGGTCAAGGGACGCGTTCTAGAACTACTCAAAGTGCGGGAGGCTGAGATATTTCGTTGTAGGTTTCGGCCGGCCAGTATGACTGGCGCAATCAACGTGCGGCCTCCATGACGAGGGGCAGTACGACTGCACTTGTCTATCGAAAAGCATTGAGGCTGGATTTGACGTCGCCCAACGTCAGTCCCTCGGGAGCTCTAACTTTGGTCGGAACCGATAGCGAGACCATCAGCCAGGGCATCACACAGCTCCACGAGGTCTGGAGTGGGCTTCTCGAGATTGGGATCGGGATATACCTGATTTACAGGCAGCTCGGGGCTGCCTGTGCCATGCCCGTGGCTCTTGTTTTCGGTAGGATGCAACATAAGCTCGGCCTACTCGGAGAGAGCCTCAAAGGCTGACATCGTTCGATAGTTGTCCTACTTACCACAGCTTTCCTTGCCGTTCCGACTGGCAAAGCATCCGCGGAATGGATCAAAGCCTCGCAAGACCGCGTCTCGACGACCTCCAAGACGCTAGGAAACATCAAATGGCTCAAGATATCCGGCCTCAATGATGTTGCCTTTTCAGTGATTCAAAAACTTAGAACCATAGAGCTCGAGGTTTCCAGGAGGTTCAGGGTACTGTTGGGCATCTCCATGATGTTTTGTAAGCTTCTTTCTTATCTCATCTCCGTGACACGTAAGCTGAGACTACCTAAGTGATTTGCACGCCGATTTGGTCTCCAATTCTTACCTTCAGCACATTCGTTGCGACAGCCGCTCGAACTGGCGATACTCTGACGATCCAAAAGGCGTTCACTGCGTACTCTGTTCTGATACTCGTGAACCAGCCGTTGGTTGGCATTGTCATGGGGCTCCCAATACTGGCTGCTGCTATGACATCTTTCCAGAGAATCCAAGACTTCTTGAATGGCAAGGAAAGAGTTGATGCCAGACTCTCTAGCGAGGGTAGCAATCCCGCTGCGGCTGGGAGGTCCATCATAGAGTCTCCAAAAGCTACCGGTCCAGCCCCTGGCTTCGAGCTATCCGACATGCATCAAAGTGAGTCAACAAACGCCAATCTAGTCTCCAACATCATCGCCTCTGTAAAGGGAACGTTCTCTTGGTCAGACGACGCTAAGCCAGTCATCGATATCGACAACTGGAACGTTCGGCGGCGAGCTTTCACCTTGGTACTAGGCCCCGTGGGCTGCGGCAAGTCGACGCTTCTGAAGTGCATACTAGGCGAACTATCGCCTTTCAAGGGCACCGTTTCCACCAGCTTCTCTGGCGTCACGTATTGTGGCCAAACCGCATGGATACCGAACGACAGTGTGCGGAACATCATCACCGGCCACGCCGCGTTCGATCCGGCCTGGTACTACACAATCATGAAGGCCTGTGCTTTAGAGCAAGATGTTTCTAATTGGCCGAATGGAGATAATGCAGTAGCGGGCACGAAGGGGATTTCCATGAGTGGTGGTCAGAAGCATCGTCTGGTATGTCAAGAAACTGTCTTTTGCCTAGGGCAATAAGTAGTAGCTAACATCATGGTAGGCCATTGCTCGCGCTTTGTACGCAAGGCAAGAACTATTGTTGCTTGACGATGTTTTCAGCGGTCTAGACTCTAGCACAGAAGACATCGTCTTCAACAACCTCTTCGGCACCAGTGGCTTACTGCGTCACACGGATACGACTGTCATCTTAGCATCTTCCGATTGTAAGTCCCCCTCGTCGGCTCGTAAGACCTTCATGTCTTACTAATGAGTTTTCGACAGCTCGCCGAGTCCCTTTTGCCGAAGATGTAATACTCCTCAACGATGAAGGCCGAATTGCAGACAACGAGGCATCCATCAAAGTCGACCGACTACGAAACTCCCCAAGCAAACACGCCCGTACAAGCGATAACGATAGCGCAGCCTTACTGCCGATGGCAACAGCAAACGGTAAACCACCAGCTACGGTCCTCGGTCTTCTCGAAGACCAAGCAGACTCCGCCCGCCAGCTTGGCGACTGGAGGATGTATAGCTTCTATGCTAGGGCAGCTGGGTGGTTCAGCCTGTCGACTTTTGCTGGTGCCATGATTGTCTTTGCCTTCTGCGACTCGTTTCCCGGTAAGCTCACAAGGTCTCTCTGCCCGTGAAATCATTAAAGACTGACAAGTCCATCGCCAGATATCTGGCTCAAGTGGTGGGCGGAGTCCAATGAACAGAGACCGAATCAAGATTTGGGCAAGTGGCTCGGTGTTTACGCGGCTCTTGGAGCTGGATCCGTAGCTTCGGTGCTCTTCGGAATGTGGTGAGTACCTACTTTGTAGAAAGGTCAGTAGAGCCGTTGATGACCAGAGACTCTAGGCAACTTTTCATTGTCATCATCAACAAATCAGGAGTCTACTTCCACGGTGTTCTACTAGACACCACATCTCGGTAAGGCACACAACCGACTTTACCTTGGTCTTTATACTGACGTAGACAGTGCGCCCATGTCATTTCACAGTTCAGTGGACAGCGGCATCACAGTCAACAGGTTCAGTCAAGATCTTCAACTAATCGACATGGAGCTGCCAGCCGCAGCACTCGGCCTGGCCGTAGGTACGCATAACCCTTAACCCATAACAAAACCGAAGGCCAGCTAACATCTCACCAAATCAGGCGTCTCATTCGGCGTAGCCCGCTTCATAGTCATGTCCGTCTCCTCGCGCTACATGGCCGCCATCCTCCCCTTCCTCATCCCAACATTCTACGCCATCCAGCACTTCTACCTCCGCACTTCGAGACAAATGCGCCTCCTAGACATCGAGCACAAAGCACCCTTATACTCCCAACTAATCGAAACCCTCGAAGGTCTGGCGACAATTAGAGCCTTCCGCTGGGAAGACAACTTTGAAAAGGTTAACCTCTGCCGGCTAGACGACTCGCAGCGACCGAAGTACCTCCTCGCATGTCTCCAGAGCTGGCTGACTTTCTCGGTTGACATGGTGATTGCAGTCATCGCCGTCGTCCTGATTGTCTTAGTCACAACACTGAGAGAGCAGATCGGACCCGGGTTCATTGGTGTTGCGTTGACGAATGTGTTGGCTTTTAGCGGGTGTGTCAAAGCGATTATCACGTCTTGGGTCATGTTGGAGGTCTCGCTTGGTGCGGTGGCGAGGGTGAGGAACTTTTCTTTGACGACGGCGTCTGAGGACGGCTCGAGGGTGCAGCTTGCGGAGCTGGAGGGAGAGTGGCCTAGTCTAGGAGCCGTTGAGCTCCGTGGAGTGACAACATCCTATGCGTAAGTTTAAAAAGTTACACACCTTTTCCCTTGGAAGTGTGGGGCTGACGATGTGACAGATCATCTGGTGCCGTACTCAAAGACGTTGACATCTCAATCGAACCAGGTCGAAAGGTTGCAATCTGCGGTCGGACAGGCAGGCAAGTCATTCTGTACCTCCTTTTCCGAACAGTCAAAGGCAACTAACACTCCATCCAGCGGCAAAAGCTCCTTGATCCTCTGCCTCCTCCGCATGATGGAACTAGACTCGGGCACAATCACCATCGACAACATCGACATCGCCACGCTGCCCCACGAATACGTCCGCTCCAAGATCGTTGCGGTCCCGCAAGAGTCCTACATCTTTGACGGCACCGTGCGGTTGAATCTCGACCCAGGCCAGACAGCTTCGGACGGGGAGATCACAGCGGTCTTGAAGAGGGTGCAGCTCTGGGATAAAGTCGAGGAGCGCGGCGGTCTTGATGCCATCATTGATGAAAAATTCTTTTCGCAGGGTGAGGCGCGGTTGTTGGTGTTTGCTAGGGCTATGTTGAGGAAGGGGAGGGTGCTTGTTTTGGATGAGATTACGAGCAGGTGGGTTCGACTTCTGTTTCTTTTGCTGCATGGAGGTCTTGCTGGCAATTCAGGCCCTCGTGACTGCCATCGGGTCTTCCTGCCTTGGATGCCTCATATTCTGTGCAAGAGTCCATGACGCAGGCACCAACCTATGTCACCTCGAGTAGATCAGAAACTGACTGTGCAAATAGTCTGGATGAGAAGTCTAGCAAAACAATCGATGAGGTCCTCCGCTCGTGGTTCAGAGACTGGACCGTCATCGCTATAGCACATAAGCTGGAGTCAATACTGGACTTTGACCGGGTTGCAGTCGTCGATTCAGGAGTGGTCGTCGAGTATGGAGAGCCTCGTCAGCTTCTGAGGAGCGAGTCGGCGTTCAAGGCGTTGTATGAGCGGTCATTAGGTGTGGCACAGTAGACCCAATAGGAGGGATCTGAGGGATTGTAAGATGAGTGTATATCCCGACTCAGCATTTGTATTTGTAACGTATCAAGATACCCCTCTTTTCATTAACATTCAACACGAAAAACATTCATTCATCTCACTTGTCATTTTCCGTCCAAGGCAACATGATTCCTTCCCCTCGTATTCGTAGAACTGAGCCGTAGGGGTCTCTCATAAACAACATGAGGGGAAACAAGTCAAGGCTGTAGGATCATGCCGGCTTCCACACCCTCTTTTCCTACTACATCAATTGTATTGTCAGCAAGAATCGGCAATTGCTTTGTTGTTACTTTATTGGCGGCAAGAGACAGGCATTTCACTAGCTTATTCGATTTATATCGAAGTCGGCTGTCATTACCCAATAGAAATTTCCATGCCATCTTATTCCAGGCGCAGTATTAACCCCGAGCTCAAAGTGCGCTTTTGTTACAGCTCATGACCAGGCGCAGACTACGCAGGCTGAATATGCAGAGCCGCCTTGCCTCGCTGCCGCCTCATTTGAAGCGATCTGCAGCACTCTTGACTCTGTCCAGGCGCTTCTATCATTATGATCATTGCCCCATTACGTTTAATTCTATCTCATCTCTATCCTTCATTTTATTCCCGAGTTTATCTATGCTTTGAATTGTAGCCGATCTCCGTCGCGATCCAAACCTTTCGAAAACAATTCCTGCTACAGTCGAGGATGGAGCTTCAATCATGGGATGCCTTCCAGGAGACATTGCCTCCTGCCGAGCACATAAAAGACACACATCGCAGAAATGTGGCCCTTCGACACCCTGGAACATGTAGCTGGATATTTGACAGGGAAGTGTACCGTCAATGGGAGAACGAGAAGAATAAGACACTTTTCTGCATTGGTCCGCCGGGTGTGGGCAAGTCAGTCCTAGCTGCCGCAGTGCTTGATAAGTTGAGAAATCCAGATAGTATAGTACTCTTTCTATCTTGCGAGAATGATTCTCAGCAAATGGATTATCTCACGGGATGTCTGATTCAGCAACTACTCGCGGAGGTTGATTACGGCACAGACATGGAGTTGCTGGCGAAGCTTTCAAGTCCTCGAAAAAGTGACACTATCGGGAACACCAACGGTCTGACTTCCCTTGAGTCGCTGCTGTGTCACCCTGGCACGAAGCGTGAAGCCATAAGAGCAAGCATCTCACTTGTCTTGGACGGACTTGACAGGCTTGATCTTGAAGTTTCCGGCAGTCTTCTTACTCTTTTCAGCCGCTTACGTGCTGAGATCGACATCAAGATCTTCGCTACTTCAACCTTTTCGATGTCTCGGACGAACGAAGACATCTCAGCCGCGACCCTGTCACTGCCGGTTTCAGACACAGCAGACCTGAAGAAATACATCGCTTCCCGGGTAAAACCGCCAGCGTCGTATGCAAACCCAGAACACATCGAGTTCTACGATGTTATCTTTAAAGCAACCGAGGGGATGTAAGTCGCGATCCACCAGTCTTGAATCAAGGTTCGTCGCTAAGCCAACCCAGTTTTCATGTTGCGAGTCGTATTGTCGATGAACTTTCGCCGATGCATACGAAGTTCGAGTTCCAACAATTCTTGAGACATTGGACTCAGGAACGTCGGCATCTGAACCAAGTCTTCGGCGGACTGATCCAACCACGTTCAGATCATATTCAATCAGGGCTAGCTTTCCACGTCATCAATTGGCTGACTTTCTCTAACCGAGCACTCACAATGCTGGAGCTTCAGCACGCTCTGGTGGCAGATGTCTCGGAGTACCTGCGTGTGCCCCCGACAACAGAAAAGATCGTATCTGCATTGCACGGAATAGTTACTATCAACACCGAGCAGGGATTTCAGTCGATTGAGTTCTTTCATAGCGCTGTCAAAGACTACTTTTGGCATGAGAGAAGTGAAAGAGCTCCCAAGATTCATGACAATATTGTCAGTTATTGTCTAAGGCAGCTATCAAGGGTAGCTTCCGGTGATGGGTTCTGCAAGTCGGACGAAGATTTTGAGGAGAGAATAAGCCACAATCCATTCTTTCTTTACGCTGCTTGCCACTGGGGGTTTCACACACAGGCATGCTCGGAACCTGTTGCAGCCGCCATGAGGTTTCTAGACAACCGCACCAACGTCGAGATGTCGAGCCAGGCAATTTTCATTGAGCAATCTTCATCTAGGACACCCGATTACACGCAACGGGCCCCGCAGAAAGTCACGGGACTTCATCTGGCAGCTTACTTTGGGACACGAACTGCTGCTGAAGAGCTCCTCAGCGAAGGAACTGCACCACTGAGCTCCGTCGATACAAGAGGCCGGACGCCCCTTTGGTGGGCTGCCTATTACAAACAGGATAAGGTAGTCAGATTGTTTTGCCGGAGTGATACAGCCACCCTCTCACTGCTTGTCGTAGCCGAAAAGAGGGATTTGATCAAGATCTTGCTCGATGGCAAGTACAACGTCAACATCGCCGATGCCTCGCTGGATACCCCGTTACATCACGCTGTACGCCGGGGCTTTGAAAAGATAGTTAAGGATCTCTTGTCCGCCGCTGCCAACGTCAACGTGCAAAACATGGGGGGTGAAACCCCACTTGCTATAGCGCTCAATAACCGCAATAGCGACATAATCCGCCTTCTTATCGGCAAAGGAGGGTACACTGATTTCGTGAACACGGCCAAGTTCCGCAAGGCGCTTGGATGGCATGACGATCAGACTCTGGAGATCTTTCGAGATGATAACACCACCGTTCTACGGCTGAAGCCAGAAGATAGACGCCGATTCGAGGATTGGGGGCCGACGGAGAGATTCTCATTGTAAGTGCCCCCCTTCACTGATACCTCTAACGGGAGCGCTTACATCTTCAATAGGCAACAACAGATCCTCGGCGACATCCCGTTTTCACCTCAGCTCCGTCGTTTGACAGACAACCTTGAGATTGAAGAATTGGACCTCAAGATCATCTCACAAGAAGACAACATGAGTCATATAACCTACTACATCGAGGCATTCATGTGGAATTCTCCCAACAACGACGAAGCTCTACCTTGCGAACAGTTGGTGCTCTGCTGGGACGTCTTTCTTGATGAGAAAACCCAGCAATGGCGCACGAAAGCCCACTTCACCACCATGCCACACATTTGGCTTCCGGATAATGGCGCGGTATTTCTGAGACACTTTCTTGTTCATGTCAAACATACCTGGCTGGCTTACTGCGATGCCAATCTCGTGGATCTCCATGTGCGTATTTCCCTGATGTTTTCCCAAATGGTTTGACTCCCAAGAAGGTCATTGACACATCGCAATACCACAGCTTCGCAAGAGGATCATTGAGTCCAAGGGATCTGACCCGGAGCTCCTAGATCACCTGCTTGAGAATGGTCAAAGGTGGCTCAGCCATCGTCACAACCTTTCCAAGGTCGCTTCCAAGATTCGAAATTTCGCGAGGAAGTACTGCCTGCAGCACAACGAGACCGGCGATCTCGAAGAACTCACAGAATCGATAGATCAGCTCTCCGCTGCGGTCGGGAAGAAGCTTAGTGAGTTGGATGAGAACTCGAGAGATCTCATTCAGCTGGTGAGTACACTTTGAGAGGGCCTTGCCCAAGTGGTGGGTCTACTACTTACAGTACCATAGGAATGCAATCTTGTCTCTATCAAGGAAGCTCGGCAATCAGTTCATTCGTCTACAAGCATGAAGCGACTTAGCTGGATTACGGTAACATCACCTTCCTCATTTATAGACGAGAAAGATTAGCTGAGACCTTGACTAGTTCATCTTTCTGCCACTAACATTCATAGGGGTTAGACTCAAAAGCTGAAAGTTCTGCAACACATACTGATGGTAAACCTTTAGACCTTGTTCGGCATGAACATCGACATTTTAGACAAAGCGAAGCCTGCTTGGTGGACTTACATCCCTTTCGCCACCGTTACCTCACTTCTGACATCTGTTGTATGGCTTATCTTCAAATTCACTGAGGTCAGTAGTATCAATATCTCCCGTGAGCATGGATGAGCTGACCATAAGCAACTACAGCTTGAGAAAACGATTGAGACCAAAGCGAGGGCGTGGGTTTCTCACCTCAAAGACGCTGCCGCCGGACAGAAGGGACAAGGATCGGAGAGTGGACATGAGCTCTCGTCTAGGAGCACTGATGTTTCTTCTCACCTATACTCTCCAGCATTAGAGAGTGGTCGTAGGGTAGTATGTTGATAACGATGGACCTTGTGCAGTCACAGTGGTAGCCGTACTATCGAGCGCTTTTCGGGGCTCGTATCTTCTTCCTATATCTCGAACCATTCACCCACTAGATCACGGCACTATCAGTCTCATCACACAGAAAGTAAACGTAGCTCGCATCTTCTTAATTCCATGTTATTGGACATACTTTACAAGATTCTTCACATGCGCCTCTCCAGCAACAGCGTCTTAGGCATCTATTCTAAACGATATGCAAATGATGAGCTCCTACGCTCAGACTCAGTGCTCATAATGCCAGCCTCGAGGGTTTCATAGATAATCTACTCACCCATGCCTCTCCTTTAGTGTGGTATATTGTGGTGACGGTATTCTGCTCTTGTACCATCTCGACCAATCAAGGCTGACGGAGCCCAGTCTTCAAGCGGCAATAGTTGCATGCGTGATGCAGGCGCCGGTCAGCAGAGACAGGGCTGTTTTGGCACAGCGGAGCGGCTGAAATATTTGACCAGCCGTCCACTACGAACTGTATTTCTGCCTTCTCCCTTGGACACCTACATCCCCACGATCACTTGCCACAATGTCCTCATTGAGAAACTTTGACAGGATGGTTCGCGACCCCTGGGCCGAATTCATGCGAAGCTTGCCCCCTATTGATGCAATGCTAAATATTCGGCTCAATCACCTCAACCGTCGGGCCCCCGGTACCTGTGTCGACTTTTTTACAACGCAGAATTATCGCGACTTTCAAAAAAGGAAAAGCCAATTGCTCCTCTGCGTTGCCGCAGCAGGCACTGGAAAGTCGATTTTAGCATCGGTATTTTGCGATAAGCTTGCAAGAGAAAACCATCCTGTGGCATCTTTGTTCGGACTTTGGGGTGGTGGGGCAGAATTGAAGCGCGTTGAGCATCTCCTCGCTCTTTTGCTTCATCAGTTGGCCCTCGAAGCTGCACACAACAGTCGGGGAACGATTTTATCCAAAGTCATACGGTTCGAAGAGTTATCAGCCGCTAGGACACTGGACCAAGTTACCCACGATCTAACTGCAGTTATGCGACATGGATTTTCACACAAACGCGGGCCGTTCTATTTTGTGTTAGACGGACTGGATGAGTTCGAGAGGGAAAGCCTACGCATTCTTCTGGCTAGAATTTATGGTCTTCGAAAAGAGTTCACGATCAAAATTTTCGCCACATCAAGATCCGTTGTCGAAAGTCTAGAGCCATTCCAACCATACATCACCACCACTTTAGTAGAGTCCCCAACAAAGACCATGGCCTACGTTATCGATTGTCTCCAGAACATCCCTGAAACTATTATTCCTGACAAGACTGCTTTGGCTAGCCAGATAATTGCCGCTTCTGGAGGGATGTAAGTAAACGCCCGGACTCCAATCATTTAGTGACTTGAGAGAAATTGCTGACTTTGTGGTAGACCGATCATTACCGACAACATCATCAAATTCTTGCAAGAAACACGAACTGAAGCGCAATTTAGACGATTTTTCAAGTCCATGAATGAACTGGATAAAAGCCTGACTCGGATTTTTGATGACCTTACGCGTGGCGTTCTGTCACGTCCAGGTAGCGGCTTTGCGTGGGAGGTGATACAATGGCTCACTTTCTCAGTGCGTCCTCTCACTATTAGGGAGCTCCAGCACGCTCTCGCCGCGGACGTACTGGAGGACCTGGAGACGTTGCCTGAGATCAAAACTATCATATCAGATCTTGGCGGAATCATACACTACGATAAGCAAACTGAAATCGTACGGTTTTTCCACCAGTCCGTACGAGAGTACTTCCTAATCGCCCATGGAGAACGGTTCCCCAGAGCCCATGAAAAACTGACCTCTCGATGCATAGCGCAGATATCGCACATCATTTTCAATGACGGCTCTTGCCAGTCAACCCAGGAACTACAAGACAGGTGCCGGACAAGTCCCTTTCTCAAATACGCAGCTTGCAATTGGGGCCACCACGCACAGAAATGCCCTGAGCCAAGTGCAGAGGTCATGAAATTCCTCAGAAACGGATTGAGGGTCGAAATATCGAGCCAGGCCATCATGATGGAAAATGGATCTGAGCCGACTTTCCGTGGCAGAGGTGCCGATGGTAATGTGACGGGACTTCATTTGGCCGCTTATTTTGGACTACAAGATGCAGCATCTCTCTTGTTGGAAGGTGGGGAATCAGCATACTGCAAAGATGCTTCTGGGCACACGCCATTATGGTGGGCAGCCAAATACCACCAAAAGGCAGTCATGCGTCTGCTCAGCCATCGTGATGTGCTGACATTACGACTCCTTGTGCAGGCCAAGGAGACTGCTCTGATCGAGTCTCTGTTGGAGTCCGGCTGTGATGTGAACGCCCCTGACATCTTTAAGAAGACACCCTTGCACCTCGCCGTCTCTCTGAATGACGTCGAGCTAGTCAATGTTCTGATATCCGCAGGTGCAGACATGAACGCACAGGATATAAATGGCCTAACAGCACCAGAACTAGCACTAGACTTACACAGCTCTGAAATGCTCATGGTATTCTTGGCGAATCACGCCGATACCAGATCTGTCAACGTGGGAAAGTTGCGGAAGTCATTGGGCTTGTCGAGCGACGAACCCCTTCAGCTATGCCAAGAAGAGAAGCGAGGCGTGTTTTTGAGAGGCCTTAGACGGGGCAGGCAGTTCATAGAGGAGCCAGGAACTGAGAGGTCTATCTTGTAAGTGTTTCAATCTTTGAAGTGATCGAAGGATGTCCAAATTCATGTTGCGATCTAGACAACGGCTTTCTCCACGAGATGAACAGCAAGCCATAATGCTGGACTTGAGATACAAAGACATAAAGCCACCCAAGCACTTTCAACTTGTCATACTGCAACCAGATCCAAGTTTAGGCCATCTCCTCCAAGCGTGGACTTGGGACTTTGTCATTCAGCTCACTCTTCCTCCTTACCCATGCCCAGACGATCATGGAGAAGGCACATGCGAGATGAAGCCAGAGAACAACTATCTCATATCCTGGAACGTCAAACTCTGCGGCAACGAATATGATAGCCAGTACTGGCAGACAACGAGTCACCTCACTACACTACCACATATCTGGCTTCCCAGAAACGGCGAAGACTTTTTCCAATACTTCATTACCCATATTAAAGGGGAGTGGTTGAAACTCTGTGAAAGCTACATCGTGTGGCTCAATACTAAGGTACCTACCCAAACCACAACTGCGCCTTCTGCCAAGCGCGGAACGAGTCACTGACTAGAAACTTGAAGCGGAGGTCCGAGATATTGATCGCTAGAGGCAGCGACCCCGAACTCCTGGATCGGCTACTCCATGATGGAAAGAACTGGGTGGACCAGCGGATGCGACTACAGACCACCGTGTCCGTTGCTCGTAGATTTGCTCGCGAGTATTCAAATCGTCACGGGGGAAGTTATAACTTGGGTGAGCTCCTGGGAGCAGTCGACAGTCTTTCAAACGACGTCAGTAGCAAACTTGACCAGCTGGACAAGACTTCACAAGACCTTCTTCAAATGGTGCGCTCCCATGATCTTTGTAGCAGTCAGGGTGCGTTTCATTCTGTACTGACATCAAGAGAATAGGAGTTCAACCGCGTGTCAATTAGGGAAGCACAGAGGTCTGTCTCTATGGCGGCAAGTATGAAACGCCTGAGTTGGATTACCGTAAGTTGACAATCTCAAGGTGAATCCTCATAATCTCAGTAGCAGGATATGCTAAGAACGTGACAGTTCATATTCCTTCCCATCACGTTTGTGGCGGTACGTATCAACCTAGTCGCCCGATATCACACCCCTCAATGACATTTGACTGAGAGAATTGCCTGCTTGTAGACCTGTTTTGGAATGAACATTGATATACTAGAATCAAACCCTGCGTGGTGGATCTATCTTCCATTTGCCACTGTTACCATCGTATTGATGACAACGGTGTGGCTAATTTTCAAGCTGACGAACGTGAGTTTTCCCCATTGTATGTCTGAGCGGAACAAAGATTGAAAGATGAGCAGCTAGAAGAACGGACGGAGAAGATGGCGAGGAGGATCTCGCCTAGGCAATGGGTGACATCCGCGGTGGAAAGAATCAATCGACATAAACATGACGAAGATGATGAAACCGACGTGGAAATCAGTGCTCGAAGTATCTTGTCTCGAAGGGATTCTGGTCTCCTGGTTCGTTGATCATACACATCAAGCTGTGGCGTCCAAAACATGAATCCGCAGGAGCAGCTTCTCATCGGCATCAAGAAGGCTGAGGAGTAGAGTCGCAGAGTATTGTACGCAATGACCGTCGTGGGAAATCACACATTTCACGTACAAGGACAATGAAGAAGTGATTGGCGGGCCCCGGAAGCTTGACTAACATGACAGCCGGGAGCTTACCTAAATTAACACAGGAAGGCCCCTCCATTCGGGTATTCCGGGCGAATTGATTGGCCAATCGCCCTTTTGGCTGTCGTTTGCCGCGCGGACCCTTGCCAAGGTGCCCCCGAGGTTCGTGTGTTCCCCCGGCCGGTGTCCGGCTGGCAGCTACGTAGTATGCGCTCTTCTCCCCGACATTCCGGCATCGTGACCCGGCAGTCGTCACGGAGCACGGAGCATCCAAAATTCTTGGCACGCGATCAACCTATCGCGTTGCTTGACGACATTGCGACTGAGCACCACGATCCCTATTCAAATCATACGAGGACACAGTCGCCCGAATCCACTTGTTCCCAGAGATTCAGACGAAAACCAGCAGATGAAGCTATCTTATCATTCGATGTCCCGTGAAATCACAACTCCGGAGTTGACTGCCCAAAGGCGGGGGAAGAACACTCTGCCGGGAACAATCCCTCCTTCCGCCCAATTACCGCCACATCTCCCGAGCAGCCCCTCCAAATTGCGGCGACCCCACACTCGAACTGTCAAAAAGCGGGCCCGTCTCTCCACGCACCGGTTGCTGCTGCAGCATGCCCCTCGTCGTCTTGTCCGGGGTTCGGAGACGAGGGGCAGGAGCTGTAAGGCACCTACACCAAAGTTGCCTGCCTCTTTTTCTTAAATCTTTCGTCACTTCGATTTCTTCCCATCTTTACCACACCCTCCCCCCCCTTTCACATGATCCCGTCCTCGTCTTTCTCGTAAAGAGTACCTACCTTGCCCAGTCATCGTGACGTTTTTGCCAATCGGAGCTCAACATCCCTGGAGCTGCCTCTTAACCTCGGCGGAACTCACCCGACTCGCCATAATTTCCTCGCTCCTAAATTCTCCGAACGTCGCGAAACTTCTTTCCTCGTGAAGGCTTCGACTTCCTTCCGCCTCTCTAGTCCATGCTCTCGCGATCATCCCGGCTCCTCTCAACTATCCAAGCCAAGAGCTCACCTACCAGGCTCTTCTCAACTACCGCAAAGATGCCTGTCCACCACCTCATGATCGGGACCTGGACCCCGCCAGGCGCCATCTTCACCGTCGCCTTTGACGACGAGAAGCTCACTCTCGAGCTCGTAAAGCGCACTGAGATCCCCGAGGACCAGCCGATATCATGGATGACCTTCAGCGTAAGTTCAAATCAGCCTACCCTCAGACCAACTTGAGTTCGGGTGAGCTTTAAGTCTGGACTTTCTTCGTGTTATTCGATCTCATCTTTGGCTTACACATAATACGCATACCACAGCATGACAAGAAGAACCTCTACGGAGCCGCCATGAAGAAATGGGCAAGCTTCGCAATCAAGGGCCCCTCAGAGATCGTCCACGAGGCCTCCCACGACATGACCCACGACCGTGAGTCCCTCCCCCTTGAGCAAGCAGGCCAATGTCACTGTTTCCCGTGTCATATCGCGATTACGCGGTCCTGTGAATACCGTCCTCAACTAACACCATCCCTCCTCAGCCAACGCCGCCCTCTCAACAACAAACACCCGCGCAATCTTCCTCCTCGCGGCCCAAAAACCCCCTTACGCAGTCTACTGCAACCCCTTCTACAAGCACGCCTCCCACGGCAACATCTTCGCCGTCTCCCCCTCCGGCGCCCTCGAGACGAACGTCCAAAACTACCCCTACGACCCCAACACGGGCATCCACGGCATGGTCTTCGACCCCACAGAGACCTACCTCTACTCCGCCGACCTTACCGCAAACAAGCTATGGGTCCACAAGAAGACCTCCCCCGACTCCCCGGAACTCGAGCTCGTCGGCTCCGTCGACGCCCCGGACCCAGGCGACCACCCCCGCTGGGTCGCCATCCACCCGACGGGCCGCTACCTCTACGCCCTCATGGAAGCAGGCAACCGCCTCTGCGAATACGTCGTCGACCCAGCCACCCGACTCCCCGTCTACACCCACCGCTCCTTCCCCCTCATCCCCCCAGGCATCCCCGGCGCCAACAGCAAAATGTACCGCTCCGACGTCTGCACACTCACCCACAGCGGGAAATACCTCTTCGCCACGGCCCGCTCAAACAGCTTCGACGTGACGGGCTACATCGCCGCCTTCAAGCTCGACGATAGCGGTCACATTGAGAGGCAGATCTGCCTGAACCCCACGCCCACGAGCGGAGGACACAGCAACGCCGTCAGCCCCTGCGACTGGAGCGACGAGTGGATCGCCATCACGGATGACCAGGAGGGCTGGATCGAGATTTACCGGTGGCAGGACGAGTTCCTGGGCCGTGTTGCGCGGTTGCGTATCCCCGAGCCCGGCTTTGGCATGAATGCTATTTGGTATGATTGAAGTGACAGATGGAGGAATTATCAAAGAAAATGGGAGGAATAAATATGAACAGACGTAGAAAATACAATCAAAATGTCGACTCATCATGGTACCAGGGGTTGGTGGAGTGATTCAAAGATTTGACTTAAGAGCAACGGTGAATGAGCGCCGCAACCGCTCAGATTACTAATGCGATATCATACAGGGACAGCACCACGCCTATATAATCTTACGACACCCAATCTACGACTTGTTTTTCCTCTTCTTCCTCCTGTTCTTCTTCTTACTTGCTGCTTGGCTGTTACTGGTGCTCTGGGCCGTGCTAGACGCGCCATCGCCGTTCTCGTGATCCTCGCCTTCTGAATCGTGGCTAGAAGACTGCTTGTTACTCTGGCTAGTAGCCCGCGAGCGGTGTCCGGAAGAACCCTTGGATCCCCTAGACCCGCCTTCATCAGAATCGGAGCTGGCGGCCTGGATGATAATCTTCCGCACTCCACTGCTAGTCTCGACTACGTTCTCGCTGATACTACCACTTCGAACAAGAGGTCGGCGTTTAGGGGTGGCAGATCCTTCGTCAATGATATCAGTGACGCTCGTTGCGCTGCTTGCCCGACCAGGGGAGACGATAATGGTCAAATCCGTTCGGGCTGCTTCGGGGCTTGCACTCCGTGTGGCCTTCGGGCTGCCGTGCTCAGGGACAGTTGGGGGCAAGTTCACTCCATCAGGACCTCTGGTATCCTCACTGTCGTGTTCGTGAGCGGCACTCGAGAGTCTAACCTGAGTCTCACTCATACCCGCTCCGCCATAGCTCTTACGGATGGCATGCACGCCACCCTTGCCGGTCAGCTTGGGGCGCATAAGTGGGGTATGTTCGTCCGTATCGTGCTCCAATCTCTCTTCACTAACGTCTCCGGCAATAGAGGCGGGGCGGAGATTCGGGGATGGGCTATGAACCAGCGACAAGGGCACTCCTGTCTGAACAGGCTTGATTTTGACGGTTGTAGACTTGGTGTTCTTGGGGTTCGACGCGCGATTGGAGGGTCCAAGATGCTTGAGATGTTGCTTAGCCTCGTCGAAAGTGGCTTTCACAGGAACAGCAGACGAAGTCATACGCCCGTCAGGTCCGGCCGAGCTTCTCCTCATGAGGAATGTCGTTCTAGGCGCGCTGCTCGACAGATTCTCCGGGGCATCGCTGAGCGCACTGATGGAACCGTTGCGTTCGTAGGGAGGCTGCGGCTCATCTCCGAACTCGATGAGATCACCATTCTCGGGAATCGGTCGAGGAGACGGCTGGCCTGTCTTCTTAGCAATTCGGGCCTTGGGGGCGGGCGTCATGCGGCGAATAGCTTTGTGGACGTCAATGTAGACGTCAGATTCGTCAATGATTTCCCTGGTCAGGATTAGCCAAATTCTCGAACGCAAATGCTTTCTTGACTTACTCTCCAATGAGTTCCTCAATGACATCCTCAAGGGTGACGACACCAATGGCGCCGTAGTCGGCACCGGGATACTCGGATACCAGGACCATATGCGACTTGCCCTCCTGGAAGAAGTTGACAATGTCCAAGCAGCTTGTCTCAGGACGGGTCTCGGGAAGCGTCGCCAATGGGAAATCCTTGACCTGCAGACAATCTTCAGGGTCGTACGTGATGAGAATCTTAACAAGAAGCATTCCAACGAAGTCGGTCGGCTTTCCGGTGGCATGGATAGGAATACGGGAGTAACCCTCTGACAAGATCTGATCCATGGTCTTCTCGTCCAAAACGGTATCTTCGGCCATGACGAAAACGTCGTCCATTGGGGTCATGACATTCTCGACAGGCTTGTCCTTCAGGTCCAAAACAGCACTGATGATGGTGACCTCGTCCTGGTTCAAGCGTTCGCCAACCTCGCCAAGGGACTTGTGCAGGGTAACCAAGGTCTTGAGACCACTCTTCTTGTACACGGTGCCGTGGTCCTCGCCCAGAGCCCAGTCGAGAAGCTTCGCAGTGGGCCAAGCCACGGGCGCCATAAGCCACATGAGCAAAAGCACAGGCTTGGACATGTAGCCACCGATTTGGAGACCGTATCGAACGCAGACGGATTGAGGTACGACTTCGCCAAAAATGACTGCCAACACGTTAGTAAAGGCTGCCCATCGCTGCGTGTATGCTTCAACGTACCAATAAGAACAGTACTGCCAACGACTGCCTCAACACCGCCGCCGAGACAGCGATCCAGGACAACAGGTAGCGATTCGTTGACGATGACGTTGGAGAGAAGTAAAGTGACCAAAACCCAATGCTTGCCCTTCTTCAAAAGATCGTAGACACGCTTAGCGTTTTTGGCTTGCGGCTCGTCGGGGTCGCCGGCGACAACCTGGAGGTAGATGCTGTCCTGTCCCATTAGGCTGAATGCCAAGGTTAGCAAACACGTACAGAAGTTGGTAGAAGATGCGAGTAACACAAGAACTTACGCGATGGTAAGACCTGCAAAGGCACCTCCAAGCAAAACAAGTGCAATGGAGGCACCCATGAGTGGCCAGAAGGCATCGCCAGCTTCGGGCTCTTCATCGTGATGGCCCCTCGCGTGAATGGGCGCGGCGGCGACAGAGGAAACGCCCAGCGTCAAAGCCTTGGTAAGACCAAGAATGGCGGTGCGAAATACGCCGAAGCCGCCGGCATTGTTGCCCCGTCGTGTTGGGACGACTCCCCTTGTGGCCATAATACTCGGCTCGTCAATTGAGGAATCGGATGTCGTGAGAGTGTCGTAGAGTAGTAGGTGGGAAAGCAGCGAGGTCAA